GTGCAAATATCTCAATATAAAACATATTAACATAACATTCTATCATTGTGGAGAAAAGCAACTCTAATCCACAAATTCATGAACACACACAAAAAAATCAAGTGGTCTCCCCTTATAGAAACAACTATTTGAGGTAGAGTTTTCAGGATTGCAAAAACTCAAAACTTGAGCCAGATGTTTTAATAACCTACATTGATTTTCGGTCTTTGTAGTGAAACAAAAATCAGGTAAATATTTCATGACTTAAAGGTTTCATTAGGAACTTTGCTGCATCCAATTACTGACAGCTGTTACTTAATCACACATCATGTTATAAATTCATACCTTCTGTTCCACAATCAAAATCAGTACCACAGGGGAGGAAATGAAAGCGGATCCATTTTACACCTAGGTCCTTTTCAACCAGGGGCTCGTGGCATTATATGCATATTAATTTCCCATCAAGTAAAAGTGATATTCAGTAAGTTAGCAGTCATGAGAGAAGCCATAATTTGGACATTACTTATTATTGTAAAGTCTTGAAAATGATGACGGATGCTTTTGCCAGTGCCGCAAAGAAATTAATTTTATTTTTGTTTTTAAATTGCAAATAATGTGAAAAACAATGACATATGGATGATATCTATGCACACATATATGTATCTGTACACACTCTAAGGAGAAAGTAATAATCCACCCACCTGAGACAGACAATTCTGAGAGAGAGAAAAATAGTCAAATATGGTAGTTAGAGAAACAGAGGCAGGTGGTAAACTTTTCCTACTTGTTACTTTGTTCAAGAATCATGGTTGTTGTTTTTTTTTTTTTTTTTTTTTTAGAGTTCTAAGGAATCTATGGGTGTTCTTAAAATACCATAATGAGGAGTAGGCTACCTATTTACATGTTTAGACCCTTGTAATATTTCATTTGGCTTTTGTTACTGAACACATTTATAGTTTTGGAGAACTTATTGTGGGAATTTAACTGCTTTTGCAGCATCAAAAAACCATCTTGAGGTGCTAATGTATAGACTACACACAATGACCCGTGCTGAGAGTAGAAGCAGTAATCATGTTAACGTACATTCAATCAAATTATATTTCAAAGTGATTTATCTGGCAATTTTACACTTTTCTTGGCTTATCTTGGTGTCAAAGCATAGTCTACAGGCCTTCTTGACATCTGAACAAACCCTCTGCTATAATCCTAGGTAATACAACAAAGGAGTAGCATCTATCAAGAAGTCTAAGAGAGCCATTCCCCAGATTCTAAGCTATGGGATAAATATTACCCCAGGGAGTCTTCAACACACTAAGAGAACGCTGCCCCCTGATGAAATGTGTCCTTGCCAGAGCCAGATAGAATCTACCATCTGCAACCCTCAGTTTTAAGGGAAAAAGTTAATGTCATAAAGAGGGCCACACTCTTTGCAAGTAACTGAAGACAGCTTTTCTTTGCTTCAGTCCAGGGCTGTTGTCAACAAAATAAGCTTCTCTCAGGATCAGCGATGACACTGGCTCATGAGCAGGAGTTCTACACTGCTGTCTGTGTTACTAGTGACAGTCTACATGTGGATATATATCATCTGTCTCCTTGGCTGCCCACCCAGTTAAAACTCTTAACAGTGTCCTTTGGCAGGGACTGAAACCATTGAGGCAACCACATGTCTGATCTCTGATATTGTGACCAAACCATTGGCCATGTCAGACTGATATCTCAGCCCTTCCAAAATTCTGAAGTTCTAAGCAGAAAGCTAAATATAAGCATGAGTTGCTTCTTTATGTACTGTATCAAGGTTTACCAGTACATCACTTTGGGTAAATCAAACTTAAAAACATTTTTGTTTTTGCTGCTTCAAATAATGTTTCTTTTTTTAAAAAAAAAAATCAGGGGCGCCTGGGTGGCGCAGTCGGTTAAGCGTCCGACTTCAGCCAGGTCACGATCTCGCGGTCTGTGAGTTCGAGCCCCGCGTCAGGCTCTGGGCTGATGGCTCAGAGCCTGGAGCCTGTTTCCGATTCTCTGTCTCCCTCTCTCTCTGCCCCTCCCCCGTTCATGCTCTGTCTCTCTCTATCCCAAAAATAAATAAACGTTGAAAAAAAAAATCAGATCAGTGTAATAGATCACTTGAGTAACTTTGTCTAGCTTAGAACAAAATAATTTTCTTGGGATGCAGTTAAGCCACTTCCGTGTCTATTTTTTGATAAGTAATTCTTCCTAATTCATCTGAAAAAACTTTAGCTATATTATCTATGTCTTTTCTTGAGAAAACACTCCCCAGTTAATCCATAGCCATACATGCAGAAATAGGATATTCTTAAGAAATCAGATTTTAGGTGTAATCCACAATTACCCGAGCATAATTGTGTGAAATAACCAAATGCCATCAAAGGGCAAATAGACTATGTCTTGAATAAGGGATCATTTTAATGTAGGCATGAGAAGCAATGATATATGAAAGGGCTTATTTGTAAAAAGTAATTGACTTTTGGAGCTGTTTTTTTGATACTTGGCTCCTACTAGTTAGTAAAATTACATGAAAAAAAATTTAAAGTTCAGTGATTATGGGCCCTATCCCAGACTTACAGAATTACAAATCTCTGAGTTGAGATGCAGGAATCTGTGTTTTAAAATCCTACTCCAGTGATCTTGATGTACGGCCAAATTTGGTAACCCAGTGACCAAACACCAAATGTGGAAGATAATCTTATTTCCATCAAAACTAGGTGAGTTAAAAAATAATTCTCATCAGACCTAGAAAGTATTTCCTAAAGGAATTCCAGATATCCCTGTGCCAAACACATTTTGTACTAGAGCCATTGTACCTCCTGGGTTTCTAGTATATACATAGACTTCTGGTAGAATAATTAGGAGAATACTGCATTTTGTATTTAAAATATGAATTTTTGTCAACTACAGAAAGATAAAAAAATGTATCCTCAATAAATACAGCAGTTCAAATAACAATAATAATATTAATGCAGGATTTTGACATATCATTTATAGTTTCTGTATATATTTTTATAGTTTCTGTATATTTACTTTAGTTCTAAGTATGGTTTACTCATGCTTGATTAGCTTAACATACTTATAAATTACCAAGAATCCCAACACATCATTATTAAAGAGAGTTATCTAAGTATAGTGGACTTCTCTGGCATTTCAATCATATACAGATATCCAGATACAGAAAATCAGATAAACATGTTTCTCATAAAATGTTTTTGGAAAAGTGTACATTACTCATCCAATGTGCTGCATTTTATATAAAGATACCTTAGTGTTCCCCAAGGAGCAGTTGGATTTCCACCTGTTCCCTTCCATCCCTCAGAAACTTCAAGCCTCTTGCAATGGTTCTTATTTCCTCTCATGCATAGTTCCGATAGGATTACTAATAATCACAGCCCATATATCTAATGTTTAGAAAGTACAGGTAGATACATTATCATCATGTCGTTATTTTCATAATATTGCAAATAAATATGGAATGACAAAGAGGATGATAACAATGTTAAGAATAATAATGATGGTGATTGCCAAAAGGGCAAGGAGAGAAGGAGGAAGAAAAAAAGGTGATGAGGGAGAAAAGAGAATCACAACTTTAGTAATTTTTTATTTTGATTAGTTATCATGAGCTAGATTCAAAGTCAAGGAATTTATAATCTATCACGTAGGCACTGCAGACTCCCATTGCTATATACAGAATTGTTTATATAGTTTGCTCTAATCATAAACAACAACAAAAAGGATGCCAGATATCTGGCATCAGATAACCCTGATCTGCCCAACTCTTTGGGATAAGTTATGAGAATTACATACTCTTGGAAAAACTAATGTATAGAAGCAGAAAGCCTATTTTGAAAAAAATCATATAGCAATAAATTCAGGTCTCTGTACAACAGAATTCTAGATATTTGCAAACAAGTACTTTTTCCACGACATTTAATGACAAAGTAAACGGACAGCAATACTCGATAAATACTTATGAAACTACACTTTCAGAAGAGTGGGTGTACATCTACTTTATTGAAATTTTTATCCTATGAATAAAAAGATACTGTACCCTGTTTTTTCATCATGTAATGTTATGAGCAAAAATATTACATTTTATGTGTTTTCATTATGTAATGTTAAAAGTGTTAACACTAAAAACAAGGCTATGAGATCAAGATCTCATCATGTTGTATAAAAAGGCATTACAATTTAAAGTTAAGAATGTGAATATTACCAATATTACAGCTACTGAGTGATGATATTAATTTTTTTTTTAATTTTAGAGAGAAAGCATGCACACGGGGGAGAGGGGCAAAGGGAGAGGGAGAGAGAGGATCTCAAGCAGGCTCCATGCTCAGTGTGGAGCCAGAAGTGAGGCTCCATCCCATGAGGCTGGGATCAAGACCTGAGCCAAAATCAAGAGTTGGATGCTCAACTGACTGAGTTACCCAGGCACTCCAGATGATCCTAATTTTTTTTTAAAGAAGTTCTGGTATTTAAATTTTAAAAATACCATAGAACAGGTCATTATAAAGTTTTATGTTTATTTATACCTGAAAGGTTAGATATACTTATTGGGTATGCATTTAGCATATATTAAAAAAAGATATCCAAGATCCTTTTAAGAAAGCTATTTTTGGGGCACCTGGATGGCTCAGTCAGTTAAGCCTCTGACTTTGGCTCAGGTCATGATCTCACGGTTCGTGGGTTCAAGCCCTGCATCAGGCTCTGTGCTGACCACTCAGAGCCTGGAGCCTGTTTCAGATTCTGTGTCTTCCTCTCTCTCTGCCCCCACCCCCCCCACACTGTCTCTCTCTCTCTCTCTCTCTCTCTCTCTCTGAAAACTAAATAAAAACTTTTAAAACAGCTATTTTTCCAAAGAATACCTCTTTAAGACAAAGATGCCCCCCCGCCCCCGCCTAAAATAGTTCTAGTATGGTATCATTAAAAAACAAATGGATTTTATGTTTAAACTTTTTCATTTATTGACTTTCATTTAAAAAATCCTAATTGTATTGCCCTTCCCTTAGAGTCCACAGATACACATTTTGGATGTGCTGCCTGGAGATGATGCAAGTGCTGTCAAGTTTCCCAACCTGGATTTTATTTCCTTCATGATGAGAAATAGAAGTACATAATTTGGCAGAGAGAAAAGTGATTATCCTGTTGGTTAAGAGGAAAATGTTTTAGTGATATGAAAAATAAAAAAATCACTACAAATTCCAAGTGATATGTGATGCTGCTGTAAGTGTGGGAGGTAAGAATGTCTGGGGAAAAGGAATTGTTTGTGGAGGATGGGTGGGTTTGAATGAGTGGGACTTTGTTCCAGAAAACTAAGATGGGCAGATGGAGTTCGGTTTTGGAGCATGACTTAGACTGGAATGTGCATCCAGAAAAATCCACCATCTCTCTATTTTTCATTTTCTTTTTTTTTTTTTTATTTTTGGGACAGAGAGAGGCAGAGCATGAACAGGGGAGGGGCAGAGAGAGAGGGAGACACAGAATCGGAAACAGGCTCCAGGCTCCGAGCCATCAGCCCAGAGCCCGACGCGGGGCTCGAACTCACGGACCGCGAGATCGTGACCTGGCTGAAGTCGGACGCTTAACCGACTGCGCCACCCAGGCGCCCCTATTTTTCATTTTCTTGATGCATCCTCTAACTTTGTTTTCTGTGTCTTTTTTCCCCTGCATTTCACTCCTGACCTTTTCTTTTAACCATTTTTTTCAAACAATTATGCCTTTACATGTCTTGATCACATGTCTTCTTGTTCAAAACACACACACAAATGAAGTGCCTCCAACTTATACACATAGAAGTGCTATTAAACTATAAAAGGCCCAGGTGGAAGAACACTGCAGCCTGGACCATCTGAAGAGCTATATCTTGCTCTAGGTTTTCCCAAAGTTGGCAGATTTTAGGGTCAACTCGATAAATGAGTCTGTTCTGAACAGTATATCGAAAGTGGTGTATGTAACTTCTCAAATCCAAAGAGACATACCTAGCATGTAGTTTTCAAATGCACCATTTTTTTTTTTACACCTGAAGGTAACTAACTTACATGTTCAAACTATTAGACACTAGAAACTTTACAGAGGTATCAGGCTCCAGGATTTATCTCCCTATTCATAAATATAACTTTTTTTTTTCAACGTTTATTTATTTTTGGGACAGAGAGAGACAGAGCATGAATGGGGCAGGGGCAGAGAGAGAGGGAGACACAGAATCGGAAACAGGCTCCAGGCTCTGAGCCATCAGCCCAGAGCCTGACGCGGGGCTCGAACTCACGGACCGCGAGATCGTGACCTGGCTGAAGTCGGACGCTTAACCGACTGCGCCACCCAGGCGCCCCT